GAACTGATCAGTATTAACGGAGGAGACACTTTTAACAGAACTCAGACGTTACCCACCAAAGACAAGGTAAGAGCCAGAATAGTCAGTCAGTGAATTTTGTTTTCACGTGCATCTTCCGTTCATCATGGATAGCAAATTAATATTAACACTCTGGCAAAAAAAAGAGTGATAGATTGCATTCATCCAGTTTTTAAGGTATCTTTTACTGCTCAATGTGAAAGGTGCTTTCCGTGGTGCTGAAATGTCTCTGCGCTCCTCAGACTTCGTGGCACATTCTTAACTTCATGTACTTATGGCTAACTGGTACACGTGGCATAGCTTCTCATTGGGTCTTCACAGTTTGAAAAAAGAAGAAGAAAAAATGTGTTTTTTTATGAAGCGGAATAAAACATTTTTAGATATATATGGGTCTAGACGTTTAGTATTGTAGATGTCAACAAAAATAGCATAAGCTGGTGAAATAGGGAGGGACGCAATGAAGCGTTCCGTCCTAAAAGACCGGCCAGCTTGTTTGTAAAACGGCTTTGTTTTGTATTTTTTGTGGTGGAAGCACATTCAACATGTCGATAACATTTAAACCAGTTAGAAATGTGTTCAACAGCAACAGCTAGAAAAAGTCATATAATCAGTAATTTATTCATTTACTTCACCCTTTTCTATCTTACAATCATCAATATATTATTGTCTCTCTTTCCATTTCAAGCATTCTTCTCTGATCAATTTAGTCTTGAACTACTTGGCTTCTTTCGCTGTTTTCAGTATTTTTGTTTGGCAATAAACAAGTATACTGCTTCACGGAATCGATCATCATATACATGTTTGGTGTATCGTTTAAGAAAAGACACTAACTCATGGGGCGTAAGAGTCCACTGTGGTCTATCAAAAAGAACACAAGATGTCGCTCGAGACCACACATTTATTCGTGTTTATTAATGAAGTAAAACTCCTCCTCCGCTGTCTGTGAAATAAGAAACAGCCTGTATGTTTCGTGGGGGCTGGGTTAGTTCAGCACGTCGTCTTGAAAGATGGTCCATACATGAAGAGAGCTTGTCTGTCTTGTGGATATTTTCCCGTTTTCGTGGCTGAATGACGTTTGTTTGTCTGATTTTCTCCTCTAAACAAAAGGATGAGTCGTCAACAGAATAGAGTGGCGGAATGGATGTTGTGCGCAATTCTTCTTTGTTTATCTGACTGGTCCGCAGCTCAGATTTCCTACTCAGTTTCGGAGGAGGTGGACAAAGGCACAGCGGTGGGAAATATCGCAAAGGATTTAAACATTAACACACAGCAACTGGAGGAACGGGGATTTCGGATTGTATCGGGATACAGTAAGAAATATTTCGAGGCAAATTTAAGAACAGGGGTTTTGGTTGTTAACGAAAGGATAGACCGTGAAGAGCTTTGTCCGAATTTACCGAAGTGTTCCTTAAATATAGAGGGGCTATTGAGCCATCCCATGAATATTTATCGCATTGAGGTCACTATTGTTGACATCAATGATAACGCACCATCGTTCCTTGAGCAAACCCATGTGTTTAATATCTCCGAGTCTTCTTCAACGGGAGAGAGGTATCCGCTCCCAATAGCGCAGGATGCAGACACCGGCAGTAATTCAGTGAAAACCTACAAGTTAAGTCCGAACGAGCATTTCTCTATAGATGTGAGTAGCGGAGGGGACAGTGCGTCCGCTGAGTTAGTGCTGCAGAAAGCTTTAGACCGAGAGAAGCAACCCACAATTGAATTAACATTAACCGCTGTAGACGGAGGAAAACCTGCAAGATCTGGCACTATGCAGATTCTTGTGAATGTGATAGATGTCAATGATAACACGCCGTCGTTTAGCAAGCCGCTATATAAAGTAAAAGTCAGCGAAAATGCACCCATAGGTACAACAATACTGAAACTAAATGCCACTGATTTAGATGAAGGTCTACATTCAGACATCAAATATGCTCTAATGAAAAGAGGAAATACAAACTCTCCTGTAAAATTCATTGTTAGCCCTGAAAGCGGTGAAATCACAGTGAATGCTAATTTGGATTACGAGGACAGCAATGCATATGAACTGCGAGTACGAGCAACAGACCAGGGGCATTCCCCTCGCAGTGGTTATTCTAAAGTACTGGTAGAGGTTGTCGATGTCAACGACAATGCACCAGAAATCTCCATAACTTCACTAATGACTCCAGTAAAGGAAAGTGCTGAAATTGGAACAGTCGTTGCATTGGTGACTGTGACTGATAAAGATGGAGGGAAAAACGGCCTTACCACTTGTAAAATGAAAGACTCCGTCCCTTTTACATTAACGTCAAATTACAAAAACTATTACTCTCTCATAGTTGACGGTCTCCTTGACAGAGAGCTTGTAACACATTACAATGTAAGCATTACTGCTACGGATGCAGGTAGTCCGCCTCTTTCTAGCACTGCTGTAATCACTGTGCACATTTCTGATATTAACGACAACGCGCCGCATTTCCCACAAGTCAATGTATATATTTACGTGACAGAGAATAGTAAAGTTGGAGATACTGTAACAAGAACAACTGCACAAGATGCAGATGCTGACGAAAATGCTAAATTGACCTATTCATTAATGGATAATTATCCAAAAAACTTTCCAATTTCAACAGTTGTAAACATAAACACAGAGACTGGAGACATAGTCAGTCTGCAGTCGTTTAACTACGAGGAGTTAAAATCGTTTCAGTTTAAAGTTCAGGCCAC